CTGCTTGCTTTCTTTTGAAGGCCGAGCTTTTAACCATGGCTGCCTGGCCTCCGGGGCCCAGCTGGGCTCTAATCCCCTGTCTGCCTTGGGCTTGCTAACCTCCTCATCCTGCCCTGCCCTACTTTTCTGCAGCTGGAGCTGGCCACAGCCAAGAATGACATGAACCGCCACCTGCACGAGTACATGGAGATGTGCAGCATGAAACGGGGCTTGGACGTGCAGATGGAGACCTGCCGCCGCCTCATCACACAGTCGGGGGACCGGTAAGGACCTGCCCTGATCACGCAGTCGGGGGACCGGTAAGGACCTGCTCTGATTGGCCCTCGTCCCAGCCCAGTGGCCGGTGACCAGGTCACATCTGCAAGTGGAGCTGTCCTTTGGAGTCACCTATAGGTGTGGCCCAGATTGATAGCTTCCTCTCCCTGCCCTGGTGGTCAGACGACTCCTACCAGTGCCCCAGTGTCTGAGAGCCGAAACCTGGCTAGGAATGAAGAGATACAGGGGCAGGTTTTTATCCAAAGTCTAAGTCATGATTTAAGTATTTGACCTTGTGTAAGAGTAAATTTGGGTTTGGGGAATATAGCTCAGTGGTAGAGTACTTGTCTAGCCTGTGTGAGACCCTGTGTGCTGGTGTATGTTCGAGCATGCGCGTGCGTGTGCACACACACACATACACACAGAGTAAAAAAAAAAAAAAAAAAACCTGGGGGCTGAGAGATGGCTCATTAGTTAAGAACACTGGATGCTCTTCCAGAGGGCCTGGGTTCAATTCCCAGCACCCACACGAGTGTCTGTAACTCCAGTTCCAGGGCTTCTGATACCTTTACACAGACATATATGCAGGCAAATACCAATTAACACAGAATAAAAATAAATTATATATTAAAAATGTGTAACCCAGGCATGATGGTACATGTCTGCAAGCCCAGCCTTGGGAGGCTGAAGCAAAAGACTGCCGTGAGTTTGAGGCTATCCTGGACTACAATAGCAAAAACTTGTCTTAAAATAAAACAACCAGCAACAACAGGTAAAATCTAAGGAACCACAGTAAGCCAGGTGTGGTGGTGTACATCTGTCATCCAAGCACATAGGTGTCACAGGCAGGTGGATTGTTGTAGGGAGACACCGGCTATTAGGATTAATTACTAATACATAGCCCGTGATGGTCAGGATATATTTATTAGGTAGCCAACCGGCAGGAAAGCAGAGCAAGCCAAAGCAGCAGGGAAAAGAGCTACCATGTGCGTTCCTTATCCCTTTACACCTCTCCCATGTCACCCTGACATCACCTTGACCACACCCTGATGAGCCAGCTCTTAGGAGGCGTGGTTACGGTGTCTCCCTACAGATTGCCACAAGTACCAGGCCGGTCTCTCCTCTGTGAATTCCAGGCCAGCCAGGAATGCATACTGAGACCCTGTCTCAAAACAAAACCCCAACCCACTCCCCCAATTACATTAAGCTAGGCACAGTGTGCAGCATGTTCACTAGGTTTAGTGGCCTTTGCTTGTCATCCCAGCTACTCTGGAGCAAGAGGATTGCTTTGTACCAAGTGTTGGGGGTCAGCCTTGGGAACATAGTGAGACAGCCCCACCCCCTTTACAGCTGGACAAGAAGCTGGCCCTGGTGTCAGCACACTGTGGGCTCAGGAAGCATCTCCATGCTGTGACTTGAGACATTTTTGATCTCTGAGCCTCTCAGAGCCTCCAAGAGGGGAACTGTTCCTCATAGAGGTGAATGGGGACAAGTCTTCCCACCCACTTCCCTGCCTGGCATCCAGCTGCACCCCAGAAGATAAGGCCATGGAAAGGAGAGCGAGCATGCAGGCCTGCTTGGGCTTCCTGCTTGCCCCAAGGTGACATCTGGTGTTTTTTTCTAGAAAGTCTCCTGCTTTCACTGCGGTCCCGCTTAGCGACCCGCCGCCAGCGCCAAGCGAAACTGAGGACTCCGATTGCCATGTCTCATCTGATAGCTCCATGAGATAGGGACCAGTGCCTGGCTCCCTGGAGCTCACCGAGGCCGGGGTGGGGGTCTTTTGTGCCACTGCATGAAGCCTGGCCCTGGGGCTGTCTCCTCGCCCGGGCTCCCTGGGTGTCTGGAGCTAGGCTTGGCCCCACCCTTCCTGGATATCCCCATGACATTGGGACACTCCTGCCTTCTTCACTCTGACTGTTTGCTACTTCTCTATCTTTGAAACGCTGCCAGAACACTTGTGATCCTCCCTTCTCCGTTTGTAAGGAATGTGATTGTGGGACCTGCCTGTTCTCCTTGGCTATCTTGGACTTTTGTTCTGGTGCTAACTGGCCCAGGCACTGTGCAGCAGACTCATCTGGGAGTCCCCGACTTTCTGCAGACTTTCCGCATCACGTACACCTGGAGAAGGCTTTGCTTCCTAGTAAGGCCTCGAAGGGAGGCGGGGTACCGCAGGGAGGCAGGGTACCTGGCCTTCTGTCCCGTGTCCATGAGCTCACAGCTGCCCTCCTGCCTGCTGTACAGGGAATGTGTAGCTTTTCCCCGGGGAAATGCACACAAAGAAGACTCAGTGTCTGGGCTGAGAGCGGTGTCCTGAAGGCAGACACTGCTCGGAGGGAAAGGTGAAGCTCCCTCCTGCACATGGGTGTGAGGGTGGGGGCTCAGGGACCCCGGTTCTCCAGCCATCAGCTGAGGGAACGTTCTGTGGCTATCATTCTCCTGACCTTGGAAAGCAGGGGACCAAGTCAGGATGTCTCACTAGAGGCCATGCCAAGCTGACAGTGGAATCTCTAAAAGCAATGAAGGAATATTTGAGCACCTTTGTGTCAATGTTTTAAGCACTTTCTGGTTTTTGTCTTTTCCGAGATGGGGGCTCTGCCCTGGGTTGTTATTCCAGGCTGTCCTCCTGCCTCTGCCACTTCCGTGCTGGGAATGCTGGCATTAGAGGCACGCACTACCACTGCCCAGCCTGAGATGTGTTGTCTTCCTAACAAGCAATGACAACACTTCCTAACAAACTGGATACAAGTGACCACCCCAGAACCAGCGGACCACACCTGAACATAGTGACAGCTGCTGGCTTACAGCTCAGCTGTTTCAGGTTAGATACAGTGTAGTCACTTCCCCTGGCTGATACATTTTTACTATGTTGGGCATCCTTCCAATTTTACCTAAGGCCTCCAGACACAATTGACCTTTGTTTGCAGATAACACACACACAGCCCTGGAACTTGATGCAGTCCAGCCCAAGCCTCTAAGACCATACTACTGGTCCCATTGTCAACCCCCACTCCTCCCAGCACCAAGACACCTTAGGTGAATTTTCATCTGTTCAGGACAGGAAACCTGGGCTGGCATGTGGCTAGTGCCCTGTTTGAAAAGTGACACAGAGGATTCCCAACCTTGCTAGGTCACAGCCTCCCTCCCCCAACCTTACATTGAAAGGCCAAGGAAGATGGGTGCAGTGAACTTTATTGATGGTATTCAAGAGAGTAGGGCTCCCTAAGCCCCTCCTTATTCTGGGGGTCTGGGATGGACACTGTGAGGGAGATGATCGGTGTGGGGGTTATTGGACAGGGACTGCTCAGCAGCCAGGGCCTCCCTCTTGCTCGAGTCCTTGCTGGGGTGGATGGTCCAGGGTGGGCTTCTTACTCCTTGGAGGCCATGTAGGCCATGAGGTCCACCACTCTGTTGCTGTAGCCAAATTCATTGTCATACCTAGAACACATTGGGAGGGCAGTTAGGAAGGGTTTACTTTTTGAGTTAGACACCAAGGGGTGACAAACCCCAAGTTACTTTTAAAAGACTGTTTCTGATCCCACATACCAGGAAATGAGCTTTACAAAGTTGTCATTGAGAGCAATGCCAGCCCCAGCATCAAAGGTGGAAGAGTGGGAGTCACTGTTGAAGTCGCAGGAGACAACCTGGTCCTCGGTGTAGCCCAGGATGCCCTTCAGTGGGCCCTCAGATGCCTGCTTCACCACCTTCTTGATGTCCTCATACTTGGCCTATTAAGGGCAAAAATCAAGGTGACTACTCAAGCCCCAACCTCACCACTAGAGACAACCCTCAGCCCACCCCAGACATACAGGTTTCTCCAGGCGACATGTCAGATCCACAACGGACACGTTGGGGGTAGGAACACGGAAGGCCATGCCAGTCAGCTTCCCGTTCAGCTCTGGGCTGACTTTGCCCACAGCCTTGGCAGCGCCAGTGGATGCAGGGGTGATGTTCTGGGCAGCCCCACGGCCATCACGCCACAGCTTCCCGGAGGGGCCATCCACAGTCTTCTGGGTGGCAGTGATGGCATGGACCGTGGTCTGAAAGACACAGAGGCAGGGAGTGAGGTCTTGCAGGGCCCCCACCACAGCGCCCACTGCTGGCAGGATGAAACAGATGAACTACATACCATGAGTCCTTCCACAATGCCAAAGTTGTCATGGATGACCTTGGCCAGGGGGGCTAAGCAGTTGGTGGTGCAGGACGCATTGCTGAAGAGAAGAGACAGGTTAGGAGGCTCGCCCACCTGTAACCTTGCCCCTGCTTGCCCACTTTGCCACAGCCCTCTGCCATCCTCACCTGACAATCTTGAGGGAGTTGTCATACTTGTCTTGGTTCACACCCATCACAAACATGGGGGCATCAGCAGAAGGGGCGGAGATGATGACCCTCTTGGCCCCGCCCTTCAAGTGGGCCCCAGCCTTCTCCATGGTGGTGAAGACGCCAGTAGATTCCACAACATACTCGGCGCCAGCATCACCCCATTTGATGTTGGCGGGATCTCGCTCCTGGAAGATGGTGATGGCCTTCCCGTTGATGACAAGCTTTCCATTCTCAGCCTTGACTGTGCCTTTGAACTTGCCATGGGTAGAGTCATACTGGAACATGTAGACCATGTAGTTGAGGTCAATGAAGGGGTCATTGATGGCAACAACTTCCACTTTGCCAGAAGTGAAGGCAGCCCTGGTAACCAGGCGTCCAATACGGCCAAATCTGAGGCAAGAAAAAAAAAGGTGAGTTAGGGGGTCAGAGAACTCATAGGTCTATAGTCAGTACTGAGCTGACACATGCCCTTCAGAAAACAGAATCCAGTTGTCCCATAGCTGTAGAGAGCCCACAGAAACCATAGCCTACTGTGCAAGACAGCATTTTTAATGGAGATCCAGCACACTATTAGTATTTAAGAAGCAGGAAATTCAAGTTTTGTTATGAATTTCCTTTAATAAAGCTGGCTGAATGCTTAGAAGCAGGGCCCAAATATAGAACACCCCTATCCTTAGGAAGCCCCAAGAGGTCTATCTTCCTTGGACAAATGAGGTTTGACTGGGCTTTTACAGCAGGGCCATAAAGTGGGGGTTACTTTCCTGTCCAAGAGGTGATTGGGCTCAAAGCCTTGTCCAACCCCCCCACCAGTCATTTCAAGTCTCCAAGAGGTGGCAGTGTGCCCCTGTGTGGGCACAAGGCATTCACTACCCCCACCCCCTGGGAAGTTTGTTCTAGCCTGGCCTGGCTTCAGGCTACACCCCCTGGACAGGAAGAACTCGTGCACTCAGCATCATCAAGCTCAAAGGGCAAGGTTAAAGGTCAGAATGAGTAGGACAGGGGTCGGCCCACCTGCTTCCTCCAAGTCCCTCCCCCTAAAGGGAAAGACTGAGAAAACCACTGAGCTTTCCAACCCCTAATCCCTGGGCTCTAATTTGCAAAGCACTTGAATTTGCTAGCTAAAAATCAGGAGCAGGAGCAACAGATGTGTGTAGGGGCCCAGACCCCAAATACTGAAAGGTCAGCCGGCTAAATATAACCTCAGATTAGGGTGGAGCGGGGGAGATCTGGTTTCCAGAGGATGGGATGGGGAGAAGGGCAGGGTTCCGAGGCTCAGACACTCAATCCTCTTAGTGACCTTTACAGTCTGGCCTACAGGGTTTGGGTCAGGGTGTGATGGGAAGCAGAGGTTATGGGGGGAAGGGGATGCTAGCACCGGAGCCATTTTGTGGTGGAAATTTTCTTTTCAGAACCACCATGACTCAGCTCCCCCCCCACTCCCCCCTCCGGCGCTACGCCATAGCTACCACCTTTGGGCTGGGAGAAGGACAAGCAGACCTCTCCAAGTCCGCTTCGATTCTCAGAGAATCTACAAAATATATCATATGCTCAAGGTAAATGAGGCTTGAGGGCTGCTTTGAGGCTAATAATATGAGACAGCTGGCGAGGTAGAGCTCTCTCGAGAGCACGGAAGCCTTGCATCACCTGGCTTACAGTACAGAGGCGACTCCACCCGGGGAGGGAGTGGGGAGGTTAGTCACGGGCTAGGAAGGAGGAAGGCCGAAGGGAGGTTTCCTAACGGTGGTTCATTCATTTCCTTCCCGTTTGCAACATGGCGGCGGCCAGCCACCCTAAAGGAAGCCCTTGGGAGATGATGGATGCGCTAAAGCGGGCACCGCACGGCCCGGTGCCACCGACCT